CTAACATCTTCTAAAGAATCTTGTTACATCTCTTTTTCACTATTGATTGTTTTCTTGTGTGTTTAAGGTTTATTAGAGAAGTTTTTAACATATTTTTTTATTATATTAATGATTTACATTTTATTTATTTATTTTATTAATTTAATTACTTTTAGTGTTATTAGTAAAAAAATTCTCATAATTTTTGTGAATAAGTGATTTTAATATTTATAAAGTTCTTTTTACATGTTTAATTTGTCATTTTTTCAAGGTTAAATAATTTTAATTTATTGTTAATATATCATCTTAAAGTGACACTAATACTATTTTCTTATTCATCAAGACATTAATACTAAAATTTAATAACAAATTTTAACACACGACTTTTGACAAACATTATAACACTTTTTCTTGAGAAGGGGCTTATACAGAATAGAATAAAATTATTTGATTTTAAAAGGATTTTTGGAGCATTTGTATGACCTATGAGATGGATTATACCACTTAAAATGATTAGATTACTATAAAAATGTGTATCAATATACACAATAATCCAAGCTTTTTAATTACGAGGATGCAATTTCCTTTCAAAATTATTAGAATTAACAAAATTTTGAACTGAAGTTATACTATTGTACTTTAGAAGATATATCTTTTGTATTTGGAAAGTTTGTATGAAAGGATTGTCAGTTTTTCGCTTTGGTCTTAATTTGTTCGACTCAAAAGAGGAAAGAGGTGATTTCTAGGTGATTGGTTGTATTTAATAAAATAATGTGTTGTTATATAATCTTGAATGAGTTGACAGACCTAGAGAAAAAAAGTATGGAGTTGAAAATGGAGAGCTTTAATATAGAAATTTATTGCTCTTATCGAAATTTGGAGTATGGTCTTTAGAGAGATGATAGGAATTGATTGGATTGGAGAATCCAAACATATACTCTTAAAGGTTGAAAAAGAGGAAAAAATCTACCTGTAAAAAGACTTTTGCTCAAGTTAAGAGAGTGAGATCTTTACATATAAAACACTAAGTATGAGTTTTATTATCCTTTTCTGATGAAAATGCATACGTATTTATAGGGTCTCAAAGTCCTATATCATTTATGTGGTTTAAATAAGGATATAATAAAAGACATATGTTTGTTAGAGACAAACTATTAAAAAACATTTAATGGTTTTTTTAAAGGATATAATAAAATTTTTGAGATTTTAATAATGGACCCTTGTTGGATCGCGCCACTTGCATATTTGGGTCGGGTATCTACATAAGCCCCTTCAGTCTCAGAAATTTGATTTAGACTGGTGGATTGGCCATTCGATCAAACATTGCCGACTTTGTACAGTTTGTAGGTGGATTGGCCATTCGGCTAAACTCATATATCATTTGGCACTTTGGTCGAGCTTGTTGGTGGATAGGCCATTCGGCCAAGCTCATATATCATTTGGCCCTTCAGCCGAGCATGTAGGAGGATTGGCTTTCAATCAAGCTCATATGTCGTTTGACCATTCGATTGAGCTTTGCTTGTAAACTGATCACTCGACCAAGCTTGCTTGTAAATTGGTTATTCGGTCGGGCTTGCTCGAAAGTCGTGATGTAAGAATAACCCTTCCATCTTGTGTTGTTGACTTGAAGAAAACTTTATGCTAGACTGTCAACATAGGCAGGTTCAATTATGTGTTGTCAACTATAAGAGACTTTTGTTGGGTGTTGTTAGTTTGGGCATATCCTTGTCTTCTCTTGAAATTGCCTACTGTAGAAGGAAGTGAACGTGACCAAGGTGAAGATTGGTCGACCAGGCCAAAAATTGAATGAGCAAACACCTGAAGGTGTGTCAATTGAAAGGGATCGAAAAAAGATGTTAAAATGAATCCTCAAATGAAAGTGACCAAAGTGAAGATCGAGATAGACGTCTTGGTCAGCTTGTGTATGGAGGTCGACCAAAAACCTGACAAGTTTGAGAATGAGAGGTGTGCCCTGTTTTGGGTCTCTTTGATACATACCTTTTTATTAAAACCAATTTATTTGTGGACCCGTGTCTTAAAGAGGGTAGGTTTTGTTTTTTTAAAATGAAAATTGGGCTTGAGGGATGTGCTACGTAATTTGGTACGTGTAGGGTGGTTTTAAGAGTATTGGTGGACCATGTGGGGTCCACTTGTGAGATTTTGTTAAGATTAATTATGAGTTTTGGTAAATTAAAGAAACTAATGAGATTTGTGTTTAAACCTAGTGATTGGTTGAGTAATGCATGTTATTGAAAATGTGTATGGAATTGTTATGTAAATATAAGCTACGTAATTTCCTTGTATTTTCATCGGATGTGAGAGTTTTTCGTATTGCGATGTGATAAGGAGTTTTGGTCTCACGTGGAGACAGAGATTCGAGTGTCACTCTTCCTCCTGCATGAGAAAACGAAAGGGTTGGATGTCTCGTCCAATAACTTCGACTCGTGTTGAATATAGTTCACCGGTGCATGTAGTATAAGTGTTTTTACTCGTTAGTCCTTGAGAAGTCAGAGAGATAGGTTTGAAGTTACGATAAAGGATAACTCGAATCGTCCTATTTTGCGAAACAGGTTGGTACGACAAAGTGCAAGGAAAAGACATTGGTTTATGAACGGTTTGGTTGTAATACAATTTCTGTGTTGAGATGTGATGTTATGACTTGTTATAGTTTGTGTTTAATATTATTATATCATGTTATATGCTATAATGTTTTTTTGGTTATTCACACTTGCATTTTGTGGCTGTGGTTTCCACCTGCGATGATCATACTTGTACGAGAGTAGATGAGGTTGCATGACGCTGGTTTGCAGTAGCTTGACGAGAGAAAGAGAAATAATTACTTTGGGGATTTGCTGTATTTATATTCAAATTTAATTTCAGACTTGGTGATTACTTTAAAATTTACGTTTGGAGTTTTCATGTTTATAAGAACATCGTTTATGTTTGTGATTTTTGCTTTCGCGATAGTATTTAAATAAAGATCTTTGAATATACGAAGAGTATGTCCTATCTCTTCCAGTTCACAAGATGTCACAAGATGTTCTATCTATACCTAGGAACAACACAAGCACAATCAGAACACACCATTAGAATCACTGATGAGTAGAGACTTATACATAAAAAAATTGAAAAAATGGACTAAAACTCAACTTACACAAATGAAGAAACTGATTAGTCCAAATTGGAGAGCTAGTCATAAAGATCAATTCTACAATCTCGGTTCTTCAATCAGACGAACAAAGATAAAGAGCTCTTAAAGAGAAGTCAGAAAATTTTAAAAAAGTGATTTTTAAAGATATGGTGTATTTTAAAATAATGAAACTCATCCATAACAAAATTATTTATTTTAAAAGCTTTTAATATTAAAATTTATTGAATCTCACCATTTTTAAATTATTGTTACTTTTAAATGTCAAATTCTAAATATTTGCATGTAATTTTGATGATTATTTTAATTATAAAAAATTTAATGTGAGACGTGAAAATTTACAATTCCAACCTTCACAAATATAATATTTTGTGTAATGTGACCTTTTTATTTTATAGCTTTCTTATATTTCTTGATAATTATATAATATACGAAATGAAAGGTTTGGTGTCAATTTTTGTCAAGAGTTCATTTGACCAGTCTTTTTGTATTACCGGTTAATTTGGTATTTTATGGTATGTTTAGTAAAAAAAACAAGGAAAGAAGTAAAAAATAATTAAACAAAGAAATGAAGAAAATATATGAAAATAAAATTATTCGATTGAAAAGAAGTAAAATGAAAATGATCTCCTGAGATTATTTTGATTTAGAAAAAAAGTAAATAAATTTACCATGGTAAAGTACATAATAAACTTGTTCAAACATTAAAATGAGATCATTAACTCAAATTGGCACACAGATGAGCGATTCTCCCTGCACCTCACCGGCTTCGTCCTGCACCTCCAAAACATATTTTAATTCTGAGGATACCCTTCGTCTTTTCACACAAAGACAATATGCCGCATCTCAAACATCTCAAACTCAAACCCTACACCCCCCTTCCAAATCAGTTCTCATTCTTTTTCTCTCCCTCATTCTGCTATTCTTCTCTCTGCCGTGTACCAGTACCTTCCATTTTTCTGGCGTCCAGGTTAGTACCTTCCATCTGCTTTCTTTGCGGTTCTATGCATGTGCTTGGTTGGGTGCCGGAGGTTAGTTCGTATTCGTCGGAGAGCGTTTGTTGGAGTTGCACAGGGAAACCGCAGTTGGAAGTGCGGTCAGGGAAACCGCATTTCGAACTGCGGCAAAGACAAACCGCAGATTCACGAACCCACTCACCGCAGTTCGAAATGCGGCACGTAGAATCCAATTATTTTTTTGAATTAGTTTTTTTCTTTTGTTAAATTTTGTTGAATTTGTTATTTTTCAATAAATTTAATTTTCATAATATATTATTTATTATGTATTTAATTTTATTTAAGTATTTTAATTTTTTATGAAATTGAAATAATTATTAAATTGTTTATTGAATTAAATAATAATTATTATCTGTATGTTAAATATTATTTTGGATTTATTTATAATAATTTAATTATTATATATGTAGTTAAAATGCTGTTAAAAAAATGCGGTTAAAAAATAAAATCAAAAAATAAAAACCACATTTTCGCACTTCGAAGTGCAGTTAACATAAAAACCATATAAACAATGCACTTCAAAGTGCGGTTACAAAGAAAACGCACTTCGAAGTGCGGCCACTAGTTTGCACACTTCGAAGTGCGGTTAAGAGATTAGACATTAATTCTTTAATTAAGTTTGACTTTTTATTAAATGAAGGGTAAAAAAGTAAAATTGAAGGTGCAGGAAGGAAGTGAGGCAGGGAGAATCACTCCACACAGATAATCCTGAATTTTATTTGTGGGGGCAACATTATAGTCTTATTATGTGTGCATTATTTGATGCATTAAATTTCAGCATATTTGTGCACACACCTTTGTTCTCTATATAAGGGAACCCTTTGCTATAATCTGCCACCACCCAAAAGCTGGTCCTTCACAACAACATAGAATCCCTTCTTCTCCTTCAACCCCTCTCTTAGGACTATTTTTTCTTCTTTGTTGACAGAACCAAAGCCATGGGAGTTCTTGACTATATTTCAGAATTTTTCTCAGTAGCACCTTCCACCGGAAAGAAACGCAAGCCAATGCAGGTTTGCACTATATTTTTATTGTTATATATATGTATGTATGTATTTCAGGGTGTGCCTTTATGATTTTCTTGTTTCTGATTTCTCTTGCAGACTGTAGAAATCAAAGTGAAAATGGACTGTGATGGCTGTGAAAGAAGAGTTAGAAACTCTGTCGCCCACATGAAAGGTGAACAACAATTTGGTCATTCTTTAGAGCAAGAAATGGAATACTAAACCAAACTATTTTGTTATTTTTTTTTAAATAAAAAAATAGTAAACTACTTGAATTCTTTCATCTCTGACATATTTTTCATCAAAAATAAGCAAAATTGTCTAACATATATAGCACTTTGTTTGCTTTATCATGCTTTCATCTCCTGATAGCATGACTTTGTCTGATATATATATATAGGACAGTAATTTAATGCAGTTCAAAGAGTAGGTCTTTTAATAATGATCTCAGGCTCTCCTCAGAAACAACAAAACCAAACTTCTATGTTTTTGTTTTTCAGTCTTTTCTTGTTTCTCAGCTGTTCATGATCACAAGGTGGAATAATAAATGCAACCTGCAGGTAAACCTAACAGTGGTTGCCCTGCAATTTAATATGTAAAAAAAGGATTATATTTATTATTTTTTAAGTTTAAAAGATAAAATATATTAAAATTTAGGACAAAATTTACTTATAAAATATTCTTCTTATGATGTAACGGTGAAAAGATAAGTTTTTGAGAGGTGAAGTAAAAAAGATAAAAAGAATATTGCAGGTGTGAAGCAAGTGGAAGTGAACAGAAAGCAAAGCAAGATAACAGTAACAGGTTATGTGGAGAGAAAGAGGGTGTTAAAGAAGGTTCAGAGCACAGGAAAAAGAGCAGATTTTTGGCCCTACATTCCTTACAACTTGGTGGCTTACCCTTATGTGGCACAGGCATATGACAAAAAGGCTCCATCAGGTCATGTGAAAAACTCTGCACAAGCACTACCTGCTCCAAACTCACTCGATGAAAAACTTACCTCTCTCTTCAGTGATGAAAACCCCAATGCATGCTCAATCATGTAAACCATTTTCAACTTCATAACAATTTTGGATCAAATGCTGTAAGAACTAGATTTCCAGATGTAAAACATGCCTAGGCACCAACTTTGTTATTGTGATACAAGACTTTCATATTGGCAATGGGTAAAGTGTATTTGCTTCCACCTTGAAGAGTAGGTGATGAACACAATCATTCACAGTTGCACTACGAGTCAATTCCAGAATAAAATTCCCTGGGCCTCAAAAACATATCAACCATACCAGCTAATAAAGTTTGAAGGTCCCACACCATTTCAAAATTATATATATATATATAAACTAATTTTACATGATACTTATTATTTTATTTATGTTAAAAAAATAATTTTAAATTTAATTAATCTTTTAAAATCAATTTAGAAAAATGTGAGATTTAATACTAATAAGAAATATATGAGACTTAATACCAAGTAATTCAACAGCAATATGAATGTGAAATAATGAACTTAATAAATAACTTAGAATAAATTTTAATTTATGATTCTCGTATCATATTAAAAAATTGACTTAAAATATAATTTAATTTTATAAAAGTAGTTAGTAAGATGAATTTTACATTTTACATGAAATAGTGAAGTGGTGGTCATTTTCCATTCTATGACCTGGTTCTATTAGGGACCACCTATGGCCTCAAAGGACCTTAATATATTCACTAAAGTTGCTTAAATTCTATTATTCCATTCTTTTCCAAAAGCTTCAATCTTGTACAAAATGGCCCCAAAAAAAACTCAACTTTTCACATTCAACAATCACTATATCATGATGAGCTCAGGTTCCTCATTATAATGTAGAGAAAAATAATAGAAAATATGTGATAAATTAGTGCATGTAAATGTTCTACATGCCTCTTTCTCTATAATTTTACCTTGAGATTTTTAAACAATAAACTCAAACTCTCACTTTAACTTATTAATATTAGAGGATAGTTTTTTAATTTAAAATTATTGAATATGATATAATTGATGGTTTTGTAGGAGAGTTTACTGAAAAAAAAATCAAACTTAAAAAACGTAATGACATCCCTCTGATTAAAAATTATGTTAACAACTTTTGACAATGAATTACGTATTACTATTTTATTGGTCTGTATATTTGAAAGAGACCAATCACAAACTAATATATAAATAAAAAATTGTTAAAGAAACATTTTTCTTGAAACAAAAAATTTATAATTTTCTTTTTACATGTTACTCATTTTTTTTATTTATATTTAATGTCATATTTGAATTTCCGACGACTATTTACATCAACATGTCATAATCCCATTGATACATTACGACTTATAATTTTATCAATTTGTGGATAATTGTTAGTATTAGTAAAAACTATTTATCAAGATCATATATTAATTCCGATAAGATAATCTATCATTAGTTAAATTATTCTTGTTAACTATTTATTTTATTCACAAAAATTCAAAAGGTTTACTTAACCAGTAACTCATTGATTATACTTTTATAATTTGATTTTCTGTTAATGTTTCGGACAAGAACCACTAGAATGCTGTTCTTTTTGGAGTAAAATTCAGCATTATATACTTAAACCTTCTTAAGGTGAGAGTCTTGAATTTAAGATTTATTTTTTTAAATGAAAATTTCATTGCAGTAAGTTAATATAATATAATACTAATTAGTAATTTGGTTCTATATATTTAAAATTCCGAATCTTGTGAGTAAAAATATATTTCAATACCAACAACTATCTTCCAATATTTACATATATCCAACAATTGTTTAAGTTAAATAAAAATTATAAAAAAATATATTTCAAACTGTTTAAGGTGACTAAGTATTGTAAAATTCGTTTGAAGTAAAATAAAACATCAAATAACATTTTATATGTATATTAATCAAATTACATTGATATAAATTGTATTATTGCATTGTTTATGTTATAATTATATGTCAAAATTAAATAATAACAACAATAAAGTGATTTAATAATTTTTATTATATTTTGAAAATCTTATATTGATTCAATTTTAATTTATTCAAAAGATCTAAGGGGGTCCATTTTCTTTAGAGTTTATATTCCATAGGGTGAAGTTGGAAAAAAGAAAAAAAGATGGAATATTATGTGGCACAGGATCCCATGAGATTAGAAAGAACCTCCCAAACCATTCTTCTTCTCTTGCCATTACATTGCATGGCTTCATTTTTCTTAGCAAGGAAGAAATTTCTTTAGGAATTGTATGTGGTCACTCCAATTTCAACATTATTTAAACATTAAATAATGATTTTTTTAACTCATTAGTCATCCATTTATATTACTATTAGTCATTAAAATATCATAAATCTCCAGAGGTTCTAATCTAAAATGTTGAGGAATATTATTTCGCTTCGTTATCAGAAAAACAAAAGAAAAATGACAATAAAAAATTATCCTAGTTAAAATAAAAAAATACTGATCACTACTCCAAAGAATCATGAATTGGATATCGATAATGGTAGAATATATATATATATATATATAATATATATATATATATATTATATATATATATAATATATATATATATATATATATATATATATCTATATATGAATAATGTAATAGAAAAAAATAAGATTTTTAAGAGTAGATGATGTGAACCATATGGTTTGACTATTTTTAGAATTAAAACCTGGAAAGAAATTTCGAAATTTAGTAAGAAAAAAAAAAAGAAAGAAATGGGAAAAAAACTTTCAAAACTGGTAATATCTTAAGTTACAACTCTAATTGAAGTGTTTTCAGAACAATGTCAAAGATCACGATTGAACTACAAATTAGGTTCAAAAAACATTCAATTAGATATGTAGAACAGTTATGAATATGAGATAAACTAGACAAAAATTAATATTCTATAAATCGAGAAGAAGAAAGGAAATAAAACAAAGAGACAAAGATAAATAGAAAGAAAGAATCACTTATAGAGGAAGCAATACACAAAGGATGAAAAGTCCTTTAATACACAGATTCTTGAATCTCTCAAGAACTAAGAAGAATCACTCTCATTAAGATAGAAGGGATAAAACCTGTAATTTCTCTGCACAAAAAAAATATAACTTGTTCATTGATGAAAATAGTTAAACTTATAAGGGCTTATGTCTAAGTTTCCAAATTGGGTCGTTATACGACTTGAAAATAAAGTCAAATTAAAACCCACTAATTGATTGGCTCACATACATAATTTGGTCAGCCAATTTTACAAAGATTGAGCTATTTTTAAAACAAACAAACTTATAAAATAAAACAGCAACAAAATGGAGTTTTAGTTATCTTCCATTTGGGTCATAATGCAATTCACCATCTTGGCCTTTCTCCTCTAAATTTAAGCTTGTATTCAATTAATATATGGGCAACACTTGTTGAAGAGCTTTTACATTTTTGCTTGAACCCTTGTCATAGGTCCTCCAAGTCCTGTTGTTGCTCATGGTCACATCCAATCATTGGTTAGATTTACATCATACCTCCTTCTTCGAGAATATTGTCTGAATCTTAAAGCTTTATTCTCATACTATAGGAGTTTGTTATGTCCTTGTAAAGGATTTTATTTTTCAACAACTTGAAACAAATTCCTTTCCTCTAGGATCAAATATAATTTGAATAAATGTATATTTGTTCCTTTCCAATGGTGGCAATTTGTGGAGCAACTCTCTTGCCAACACACTCTCACCTTCATATGTGACAACAAATAACTCCATGTGTTGTGTTTCATTATCTTCAATACTTTGCTTTTTATCAGCAAACTGGATACATGATAAAGTACTATGAACAAGCTTCCTTTTTAAACATGAGAGTTGGTGTATTTCATTCACATGTCCATCATTTTCTTTCTGTAAACCGACATCATAAATAGTATAAGAAAAATCATTAACAAGGAATTTTATATGGGTTGAGACAAAAAAAATCGTACGTCTAATTGTTAATCACTCTTAAAAGAAGGATTAATCAAACACTAAATTAAATTGAATCTTACAATCACAATAGGAACATTTTAGAAAAAAGAAACACCTCTCTTGAAGTCACAAGAGATGAAAGACAGACAGTTTCCTTAAATCCACAAGGGATGAACACCTCCTTTGAATTAAATAAATAATGAACAACTTTCTTAACAATAACAACAACACCTTATCACAAAAGATCAAACTTTTAGTAAAATTTACATATTATATTATACCCACACTAGGTTTTTCAAAACTTTTTAGAGGAAGTTCACAAGTTCTATTATTGTCTTCCTTAACATCTATACAAATTGCATGACTTTAGAGGAAGTTCACAAGTACTAATTTAACTATCTTAAATAATATACAAAAATTGCATGACTTTAATAATATTATCAGCACATAAAACTACATCAATAATATTATATACTTTCAGTAATTTTATGAAATAAAGGCATGTCCAAAAACTATTTGATACAACTCTTGATGTCTTGTCACACATACTTTAGTAGTGAATATACATGTCATGTCCAAACAAAATTATTAATTGTTGCATTCTGGTTCTTGGTCTTTATGATATTTGATATGCATACATTCCATTATAGACTTATTTCATAGAGGTGACTTTGTTCTCTTTTTAAGATTTTCCAAGTTT